AAGAAGAAGAAGAAGAAGAAGAAGAAGAAGAAGAAGAAGAAGAAGAAGAAGAAGAAGAAGAAGAAGAAGAAGAAGAAGAAGAAGAAGAAGAAGAAGAAGAAGAAGAAGAAGAAGAAGAAGAAGAAGAAGAAGAAGAAGAAGAAGAAGAAGAAGAAGAAGAAGAAGAAGAAGAAGAAGAAGAACTTGTTAGTAGTAGTTCTCTCTCCAGTACTAAAACTGTGGCCCAGTTTCCTTTGATATGAGCATTTAGAAATTAAAACCCAAAATTAAAAACCATAATAGGTAGACTCCATGAAAAGAGGGCACTTCTCTTCCAGGTGCAAATTAGAGATTTAAAAAACTGAAGGGAAGAAATACCTACCGGGATCGGAGCTTCATTGTTTGATGAAGGGGTCAACATGCTACTGTTGGTAACCGACTTCTTGGGAAGCTGAGGGCTCACTTCAGCTTTGACGTCCGAGCTACTTTTGGAGGAGCTGTCATTGACTTCATTTTCTTCCACTGGGATCTCCTCACAGTAACTAAAAAAATAAGCAAAATCCCAGTGAATTGGATCAATCCCATGGTTAGTCTTCTTATTAAGCATTGAAGAGCATACCTTGTGGAATAAAAATGTTCACCTCACAGTGCTGCTGAGATCACCAAAGAGGGAGTCCAGAGAAGCTTCAATTATCATCTTTTCTTTTACTTTGACACACCTATTTTCTAGCCAAATTCCATTCCAGAACATTTACATATTTTCCCACTTCTCCCATGGGCTAATATCTTAGCGGATGGGAGACAACAATAAGGTCTTCTGAAGTTCTCGAGGCTTTTTAGAGCTTTCAAAGAAACATCCAAGCTTCCTAACATTTCAGACTGGAGAAGAGGGCAATCCTGTGTGTCTTTTATGAGGTAAAAATCTCTGCCGAAATTAACGGTAGCATGAAATTAATGGTAACAGTATTTCTCATCTTTGTAACTGTAAGCTAAGTGGACTTCAACTCCCAGTATTCCCCAGCCAGCTGGGAGTTGAAGTCCGCTCAGCTTCAAGTTACCGAGGTTGAGTAACACTGCACTAGAATATTGAGGATATCCCTGGTTTGTAAGCATTAATTATTGGCTTTTTCCAGTCTTGTTTTCATAGCTTGCTTTAGGTAAAGCAACTTACCCCATGGTGTTGAAATCTTCATCGGGAGGAACATAGTCTTCATCATCGCTCGTCAACCCCAGTTCATTGCCGTAACACTGATGTACGAAATGCCAGAGCTCCTTCGGACATAAGGGCTGGAGAGGAAAGAGGCAATGAATCAGTATCTCCCATGGAAAGCAATGAAGCAGCCAGTAGACAGCATCTCTAATACTTCACTCAAAAGAGTTTTAGAAACATGGCCCCCCCCAAATGTGAATTTGCATGTTTGCAAAGAAGGGAAAAAAACATGTTCACAGCATGGCAACACAACTTTGAAAACCTCAACCCACTCTCACACAAGAAGCCACCGACAATGGATCTACAGTTTCAGCTCCTCCTCCTCCCATCTTTTGTTTTTAAATGCATATGATAATTATCCAGGAACAAAAACAATTTGAACCGCAGCTGTGTTGTGGGTTTGTGTGTGTCTGTTGATTCATCCCTGGAAGACATTAGACCGACTACAAGGCTCCCATTATTGCAAAGGGGGATACCCTTCTCGAAAATTAGCATGTGAAAAAGATTAAACACATCACATACCCCGTCAAAGGGGTAGGGAAAGGGAAGAGAAAATGCATTCTTGGAACCCAAACCGAGCAGCTACTGGGATGAAATTATCAGCAATTTTATGAATTATCAGATCACTTGGAAGGAGCAAGAAGAAAGAAGGACTGGGATGGTTGCCTGAACCACGCAAGACGGGCAACAAATTTGATCAATAAGATAAGTCAATACTTCCTACCTTTTCAAGGAGGGCATTCTGCCAAAGGCGAAACATCATCATATACGTCCTATCCCGGGCACCAAAGGAAGTGAAAAAGTGCTGGGAAAAAGCAGAAATGTGGGTGTGTGAGACAAATCAGGAATAAAGGTTGCATTAAACCAGTGTTTCTCAACCTTGACAATTTTAAGGCATGTGGACTTCAACTCCCAGAATTCCACAGCCAGCAATGCTGGCTGTGGAATTCTGGGAGTTGAAGTCCACATGCCTTAAAATTGTCAAGGTTGAGAAACACTGCATTAAACGATTGCATTAAAATACAGTAGCAAAGAGAAAGAGGCCCAGAGCTCATGATACGGAGGCCAAAAACTGTATCGGAGGTTGAAAACTGTACCGTAGCAAAGCAATCAGTGATTTATACTGGGCCCCTTTATTACATGATCTGCTTTAATTCATTTTCTGGCAGCTGGGTGGTCTGAAAAAAACAACAACAGAAGCCTTGCTTCAAAGTGGTTTAAAGTTGAACCACTTTTCCAGCAAGCATAATGCCACGCTCGCATACAGGCAAACAAGCAATAGGCAGCACACAAAACCACACACCCCTCCAGTCCATGGAAAAACGTCTTTCCACAGAACCGGTCCCTGATGCCCAAAAGGTGGGGGGGCACTGATCTAGTTGATGTAAAGGCTCTGTGAATAAAAGATAAGCAGGAACTCTTCAGGGTAGGGACATGCTTTGCTGGCCATGCCCAGAAGGCACCTGATTTTGCCACCAGCGAACAAGTTTTGCAAGCTTTTGCCTTGTCCCTAACCTTTGGAAAAACTTGCTTAACTGGTGGAAGCAATGAGACCAAAGAAGCTCGGAAGGTCCTACTACTGGAGCTCTAAGGCATTTTCAACTGTTAAAAAAAACAACCCATGCATGTTTCTTGACAAACTGATTTTTGAGCCATGGTTGATCCACTTGACTATAAGAACTGAACACAGCTTCAGTCCTGTCCAAGATTCCCTGTTCCCCCAACTGCCGGATTTGTCCTTCAGAGAAAGCCTTCTGCTCTTGCCAACGTCCCCTGGGGAAGACAGTAGAATGTACCTTTTCAGTGTCTGTGCAAACTTGGATAGCGTTAGGAATGAGCCGTGCAGTTTTTTCCTTGGTCATGGTGCAGATGTCCTTCAAACGGACGGTCAACTGTACCAACAAATAAAAGGTCAGAACCATCATTGGGAGGGGGGGGGCGAAAGGAGAAGGTGAGTAAATGCAAGCTTTCAGGGTCAACCCATGGCAGGGAAAGTCATGGGGTGGGGTGGGGTGGGGTGGAGAAGACAACTCACCAAGGTTTCCCAGCGGAAGATGTTGCTGTAGAAACATATCCAGTTTTCAGAGAGGTAGAGCCGACCTTGCAAGAGAATATCTCTTTGAAGTGCACAGGAGTAATCTGGAGGAAAAGCCAAAGGGAGTGACATGATGTGGCAAAAAAATGATATAAATATTTATATGGAAGCTAAAAATAACTGGGTGCTGCTGTACGTGGTAGAAAGTAAACAGGGACCTGTTGGCTTGCTTGCAGTCCAAACAACAAGAGCGGAAAAACAAATTCGGGAAGGTGGACAAGGAAGATAAATCAAAGGGAGGGGAAAAAAGAAGGGGCGATATTTTGGCAGCGGCAATTAATTTAAGAATCCTTCAAAAGATAATATCCGTTAATAAAGATAATGGACAGACTAGAGATTACACCGGGAAAATAATAAATACAACACAGGTAGTCCTCAACTGACGATCACAATTCAGCCAAGCATTTATGTTGCTAAGTGAAACAGTTACGTGAATTTTGCCCCGTCTTTACGACCTTGCTTGCCAACGTTGTTAAGTGACTCATTGCGCTGTATGAAGGTTGTTAAGTGAATCTGGCTTCCCCATTGACTTTGCTTATAAGAAGGTCACAAAAGGGGGAATCAGGTGACCTCAGGACACTGTAAAGAGATACAGAAAACTCATTCTTTGCTGATATTCCAATCATGGTGTAGATTTTGGCAGCCAAGATATTACATCAGTAAAGAATAAACTCTTTGCTAATTCAGTTAATTGTTAACTGATTAAATGGAGTTTCATCAAGTCTGACCCTTCACGTTGTCATAGATAAAAAGAAACACTACTTCTGTTCACTTGGAAAGGGAATATGGCTTATTTCACCACTACAATTTGTTCACTCGTTATCCTTAACCGTCATCAGGTTGGCTTACGTATAACTTTCTTTTCCCGGCCACTGGAAGCAAAGTTCCTGCTTAAATAACAAAGGCAGTAAACTTGCCTTTAAAAAAAATCAAAGAAGTGTAATATTGATTCAGACTTTGAGCTAATTAGGCGATAAGGGTAATAATAATTGTTACAGAGCAAGAGGCTCAGATCTCTGACTTTAATGCTTCAGAGGCCAAGTTTTCCTTAAATATCGAAATGGATATTTTCTGGATTTTTTTTTTAATATTGTATTAATCACAAGTTCCTTTTTTTTCTGTTTCAGGCAAAAGTCTATAAGGGGTTTCTAGTCAGCAGTAAGTGTAGATACAGCACTGTCTTTTCTCCAGTCGAAGGAGTCAAAAGTTTCGTTTTCAAAAGAGCTCGGTTCAAAATCTCCAGCCCTGGATATGGAGATTCTCAATCGTCCAGGTCATGGTTATCCCAAAGGTGCTTTTCAAAAAGCAAACTGGACTTTCTCGTTTTTCCTTTTTTTTTCCTTGAAAACGTTTCGCTTCTCATTCACGAAGCTTCTTCAGTTCTGAAGCGCTCATGCGCTGAATCGAAAAAGACTGATTGATACCTTTAATACACCTTTAATACCTTTAAGATAGGCTGAGATGGAGAAATTTTCTTTCTGGGCAAAGAACAATCCTTTCTCCATCCTCAACAGATGGGGCTGGCTTTTGAGATCCTGGAGAACCTTTGCCGTCACAGTCCTGGAAAGAAGGGAGGATTAACTTACCAACAATGAGGCGCTCTGTTTCGGGAAGCTGCTTGAAAAGTTTCCTGAAGTCTTCATTCCGTTGTTTGTAGGTTGGACTCAACACCTGGCAAGAGTGGAAGGCTCGTTAGAAGGAAAGATCAGAGTAACAAACTGAGGGAAATTCTCTATTCTCTGTCTACAAAGTCTCCCCTAAGATGTGCTCAATTCCTGGGAGGGAGGGAGGGAGGGAGGGAGGGTGAAGGAGAGAGAGAGGCAGGAAAAGAGAGGGAGAGGGAGAGAGAGAGGGAGAGGAAGGACAAGAGAGGAAGAGGGAGGGAAAGAGAGGGAAAGGGACGTAAAGACGGAGAGGGAAAGGGAGAGAAAGAGAGGGGAAGGGAGAGGGAGAGAGACAGAGAGAGAGATGAGAAAGAGAGATTTGAAGCAAGAAAAAGCATATCAGACAGACAGACAGACAGACAGACAGACAGACAGACAGACAGACAGACAGACAGACAGACAGACAGACAGTAACTATATAAGTCAGGCAGAAAAACCATCCATTCCATCCCAATTACTGATGCCTTAGCATTTAATAGTGAAGAAGGTACCATCTGCACCAAACAATTATTGAACATTTTTATTAAAGAAAATCTTGTTTTGAGAGTTGCCTCATCCTCATTTCTCCTTCACATTAACCAAGAATAAAACACGAAGCGATAGCAAAGGATTGAACTGGCAAAATCTTCTGCGTATCAATCATAAGCTGCCCCTAAAGCAAGAGGGAGAAGAGCATCTTTTAGGAGGCCTCCTTTTGACAGGACGTCACTCACAGCTGGAATTTCTTCCCAAGCTGAATCCCAATGACCTTCAGGAAAATCGCACAGCCATTCCAAGTGACACAGCAGACACTGGTCCTCCAATTCTAAGAGAAGGTTCCAAATAATCCCACATTCTGACAGGACATCCATAACGCAGCGTTTTCCGTTCTTAAGTCTTTACTGGCATGCAGGACGAAAGCCCTTTACTTCCACAATTGCCAGCAAAATAAGAAACCACAGTCGGCACTTGCAGTAGTTGGCACTAGACTAATTTTCCCCACCCACTCATATGTGGGTCTGGAGACTCAAAGGCGTAGTAGGGAAAGACAGTCCACCTCTCCAAGAAGATCAAGTTCATTCCCATCTAATCCAGTCACAGGAGATTAGATGCCCAGCTCCCTTGCTTCACTGCACTTCACAAAGGTGCCTCAAGCTGGAGAAACTCCCATATTTCTGCTCTCTGAAAAGTGGTGTCCGGGATCAAGCCGTCCGCTCTTACAGGCTCATACTTCTAATTCCAAATATTGCCCTTGTCAAATCTTCGCAATTTTAAACCGTGGCAAGAAAGCACTGACGAAGTCCCTCACAAGCCAACTGCACTTCAGAGGTTTATTCCAAAAATCAGTCTTGCAGAATCTTCTCAAGTCTGGGTCTTATCCTGGGAGCTGCAAAACTTCCCTTCTGGTTTTAGTTCTTCCCTCTCAGTCCAGGATGAGCACACCCGTAATTTCTGAAGTCACTCCAGTTACCGCGGGGGACTTTCCTTGCTTCCTCTCTTCTCTGAAAAGACAGCTCTGCTCTTGGCTTATGTTTTTTTTTTCCCTACTTCTTCTTGTAGAAGAAGCGGGTGGGGAAAAAGACAACGAAATGCTTCACACATGCTTTACATTTCAGCCTCTGGGTGATTCTGTCGGCCAATGCCCTGGAGTAACCCAGCCTCGGCCCTCCCATCCAGCAGATGTTTCCTGTAACGCAAAGTTGCTGGGCCGAGTTTGTTTTGGAGGGTGGAGAGAAGACGACACCAGAGAGAGCCAATCTCCAGCATGAAATCCCCAATCCTCCCTCCCTGGTGACTGTTCTGACTGAATGTGCTCACTTCACACGGACCTTCGAGAACAGCAGCGTTGAGGGGTTCAAGAAGAAACGAAGCTCCCTTTCGCTCAACTCCGCCCTCCACCTTCTAGGTAAATCTGTGCAGAACTTCCTTCATTATTGCTCACGTCTTCAACGACCACAATCTCAGCCTTTTCAAACTTACCCTGTTCAGCTGAGTTTGAACTTGAAAGTCTCACTAAGAGGGGTAAGCATGGGATCTGAAAGCGTGATGCCAGTTTATAGTAAAAGTGTAGACCGAAAACCACAAACGGAAGTGAGGTGCATCCATGTGAGCAATGAATAAATCCCTCTGAAGCCATTCTGACGTTTTTCCAGGGATCTTCAATAACTGTTAGCCTCTCTTTGGCTTGAAACAACGCAATAACTCCAGGAAACTCTCGTGGAATGCAAAAAGACCATTACTGGAAGACGACTTATTATTTGTTTACCATATGGCACATTTGCATCACATTTTGACAGACACTCAAGAGATAAAATTGCAAAATCCAAAATATTATAAATGTAGGTCTAGATTACAGGTATAATCTTTTGCTTCATTTGTCACAGCCAGGAAATCAGCAAAGTCTCCATTAGAGCAGGGGTTCCCAACCCCCCCTCCCCATCCGTGGACCAGTACCGGGCTGCGGCATGCCAGCAACCGGTCCACACAAACAAGCAAAGCCTCATTCATGGGATGCAGGCAGCACACAAAACCACGCACACACTGATCCACGGAAAAACCTCTCTCCATGGAACCGGTCCCTGGTGCCCAAAAGGTTGGGGACTTCTACACTAAAGCTTCTATTTTGGCACTCTGGCAGTCTAGGTTGGACAGATGACTTATGAATAAATGCTCTCGGCCTGGATGGTATACATTACGTAAAGGTGAAGATGGTTTGAAACCCCAATGCGGGAGGGGATGATGGTGGCAGGTTTAACCTTCCAGAACTCAGACCAGCCATGGGCATAGCTGGGAGTGTCTGAAAAAAGCTACTAGGTGCAAAGAAAGGCATACAGGTAGTCCTTGACGTATGACCACAATTGAGCCCAAATTTATGTTGCTCAGTGAGAAATGTGTTACGTGAGTTTTGCCCCGTTTTACGATCTTTCTCGCCACCTTTGCAAAGTGGATCACTGCAGTTGTGAAATTAGTTAACACTGTTGTTAAGCAAACCCGGCTTCCCCATTGACTTGGCTTGCCAAAAGGTCACAAAAGGGGATCGTGTGACCCCAGGGACACTGCAAGCGTCATAAATATGAGGCAGTTATCAAGCGTCCAAACGTAAACCACGTGACCAGGGCGTGCTGCAATGGTCATGAGGGTGAAAAACGGTCATAAGTCACTTTTTTCAGTGCCGCTCTAACTTCGGACAGTCACTAAGCGAACTGTGGTTAAGTCGAGGACTATCTGTGGAGGCAAAGTAAGAAGGCAAAATAATCTAAATCCATCTGATTTGTTCATTGCAACGGCGCTCCCTCACACCCGTTCTGGAATCGTACAACTCAGAGGGTGCTTCTTTACCAAGTTACCACAGGTAGTCCTTGACGTATGGCCACAACTGAGTCCCAAATTTCCATCGCTAAGCAAGGCAGCTGTTAAGCAAGTCACATCCCATTTTACAAGCTTTTTTTTGCTACAGTCACTAAGCGAATCATTGCCCTCAGGTGAATACATGGTCGTGAAGCGAAACTGGCTTCCCCCATTGACTTTGCTTGTCAGAAGCTGCCTAGGAAGATTGCAAAGGACAAGCTCAGGATGCTGCAATTCTTGTAAATTACATGCCTTCCACGAAGCACCCAAGTTTTGATCAACTGACTACTGCAACAATCATAAGTGGCCCAGTGGTTAGAATGCAGTATTGCAGGTTACTTCTGCTGATTGCCAGCAGTTCGGCAGTTCGATCCTGACAGAGCTCAGGGTTGACTCAGCCTTCCATCCTTCCCAGGTCAGTAAAATGAGGACCCAGATTGGTGGGGGGCAAATATGCTGATTCTGTAAACCACTTAGAGAGGGCTGTAAAGCACTATAAAGTGGTATATAAGCCTAAGTGCTATTGCTATCCTTCCTTCCTTCCCTCCATCCCTCCATCCCTCCCATGGTGATACAGTGGTTAGAATGCAGTATTGCAGACTGACTCTGCCCACTGCCAGCAGTTGGATCTTGACCGGCTCAAGGTTGACTCAGCCTTCTATCTTTCTGAGGTCGGTAAAATGAGGACCCAGATTGTTGGGGGGTAATGTGCTGACTCTGTAAATCCCTTAGAGAGGGCTGTAAAGCACTGTGAAACAGTATGTAAGTCTAAGTGCTATTGCTATGAGTATGAGAACTGGTCATAAGTCACCTTTTTTCAGTGCCGTTGTAACTTCGAACGGTTGCTAAACAAATGGCTGGCCCATCTGTATTTCTCTGCTTCAACATTACATGCTTCTATGGTCTCTCTAAAGCAGGAGTCTCCAACTCCCAGTCCATGGACTGATACCGGGCCGCGGCATGCCAGCAACCAGTTCGCACAAACAAGCAAAGCCCCATCCATGGGATGCAGGCAGCACACAAAACCACGCACTCTCTGGTCCGTGGCAAAACTTTTCTCCAGGGAACCGGTCCCTGGTGTCCAAAAGGTTGTGGACCTCTGCTCTAAAGGATCTCAGAACAATGCACAGCCTTGTATCATCAACTGTATGAGACTTAAACTGGACATGCTGGCCTATGTCTCTGCTCATAGACTGGAGTTCGATCCTGACAGGCTCCAGGTTGGCTCAGCCTTCCATTCTTCATAGGTAAGTAAAATGAGGACCCAGATTGTTGGGGACACTATGCAAATAGTTTTTCTACATTATAAACCACCCAGAGATGCTGTAAAGCACTACGGGGCGGTATATAAGCCTAAATGCTATTGCTATGACTGCGCTACTTCTATTAAAAAACAACTGGTCAAGGGTTGGCCTATACCTGTAAATGAACCAGTAGGTAGCCCAGGGCACCAAATTTCAAGCAAAACACATTTAAAAATCAATATTTTTTTTTTAAAAAAGGCTATTTGCTCTTGCAGTTTGAGCGGTAGAGTCAACTTCATGGTGTATTTAGGACATCAGTGGCTAAAAGCAACTTTGAGCTACCACGGGCGAAAGCAGAGTAACTCTACATGCTAGATGGAACACTTTGAGAAAACAATGGAGCCTTTTCAGTGCTGATTTGATTGATTTCTCCTCT